AATAAAATGATAAAAATTAATAGGATAAACATAATAAAATTATTAATTTATTTTCTTTTAGTGTCCTTTAAATTTTTACATTCATTTAAAATAAAAATATTTTATATGTTAATTTGAATTAATTTAACGAAGTATTATATGATTTTTAATTTTTTAAATTTTTTTATAAATTTGATCTATACATGAAAAACTTTTTAATTTAACAATTAAATTCTTAAAAATTTGATATAGAACATTAATTATTAAATAGAATAAATCTATCAAGACTTACTATTGAAGTAAGTAAATTTTTTCTTCATTAAAAATGAAAATAATTTTACCACAAAATAAAAAACAATTAAACAATAAAATAAAATATAAAATAAAATATTAATATATTTATTATATTAGATATAACAACGTAATTAAAATATAATTAATAATGTCATGTCATCATTTACTGTATAGTGTCATTTCATCCTTTACTGTATAGTGTCAATTTGGTAGTAAGTGGTTCATCCTTTAGTGATACATTGCATTGACCTTAATAATACATTGTATAGCCTAACTCTTTAGCAATTGAAGTTATCAATTTTCATTGACAATATTACCAAAACGGCCCGTTCCACAACCGTGAACTATAATCATTGATCGTTTATGTTTAGCAGTCTGGATGCAAAATTAACATACCAAAAGTGCAACCAGAACGGCCCGTTCTGGTTTCAGAACGGGCCGTTCTGGTTTCAGAACGGGCCGTTCTGGTTCTAGGTGTTTTCAAAAAATTGGGATCCATGTGGCATCTACGTGGCATCCACCTATACATCCACGTGGCATCCACCTATGCAACAGTTAACTCCGTTAAAGAAATTTAGACGGAAGTCCCACATTGAAACCAATTAATTTATTAGGGACTAAATTGAAACCAATTAATTAGTTTGAGACCAAATTGAGACAAAAAATTTATGAGGGACTACATTGAAACAAAAAAAGATTATAAGGGACTAAAATAGGTATTTAGCCTTTTTGATTTATTTTGTGAAGAAAATGGAATTGAACATAACTATTCTGCACCTAGAACTCCACAACAAAATAGGGTAGTAGAAAGAAAGAATAGATCATTAGAAGAACTAGCAAGAACAATGCTTAATGATTCAAAACTCCCCAAATATTTTTGGGCAGAAGCTGTCAACACTGCATGCTATACTATGAATAGAGTCTTGATTAGACCTATTCTTAAGAAAACTCCTTATGAGTTATTCAATGGAAGAAAACCAAATATTTCACATCTTCATATTTTTGGATGCAAATGTTTTGTACTTAATAATGGAAAAGATAACTTAGGAAAATTTGATGCTAAATCTGATGAGGGGATATTTCTTGGATACTCTCTAAATAGTAAATCATTTAGAATATACAACAAAAGAACTATGACTATTGAGGAATCAATACATGTTGTATTTGATGAAACTAACCTTGTTTGTCCAAGAAGAGATATTATTGATGAAATTGTAGAAAGCTTTGAAGATACTCATATTAATGAGCAAACTCACAAGGATGACAAAGATAAAGAAAAAGAGGATTCAACAATCCAAGAAGGTCAAACAAACATCAATTCTCAAAGAGAGTGGTGAATCTCAAGAAATCATCCTCTTGAAAATATCATTAGAGATATAACGAAAGGGGTAATTACTAGAAACTCCAAACTCTCTAAAAGAAGCATGCAACAATATGTCTTTTGTTTCTGAAATAGAAGTTAAAAATATTGATGAAGCTTTAAATGATGAACATTGGATTAATGCTATGCAAGAAGAATTAAATCAATTTGAGAGAAATCAAGTATGGGATTTGGTAAATAGACCCACTAATCATCCCATTATAGGAACAAAATGGATTTTTAGAAACAAACTTGATGAACATGGTTTAGTCATAAGAAATAAAGCTAGATTAGTTGCTAAAGGTTATAATCAAGAAGAAGGTATAGATTATGAAGAAACATATGCACCAGTAGCAAGACTAGAAGCCATTAGGATGTTACTTGCCTATGCATCAATAATGGACTTCAAATTATACCAAATGGATGTTAAGAGTGCTTTTCTAAATGGTTTTATTCAAGAAGAAGTTTATGTAGAACAACCCCCCGGTTTTGAGAACTCAGAATTTCCAAACCATGTCTTTAAATTGAAAAAGGCTCTTTATGGATTAAAACAAGCTCCTAGGGCATGGTATGAAAGACTTAGTAAATTTCTTTTGGAAAAAGAATTTACAAGGGGAAAAGTTGATACTACACTCTTTATCAAAAGAAAAATGAATGACATCCTTTTAGTGCAAATCTATGTTGATGATATTATTTTTGGAGCTACTAATGACTACTTGTGCAAGGAATTTTCAAATGATATGCAAAGTGAATTTGAAATGTCCATGATAGGAGAACTAAATTTTTTCATTGGACTACAAATAAGGCAAACCAAAAATGGAATTTTTATTAATCAAAGCAAATACTGTAAAGAATTTCTCAAAAGGTTTGGAATGGAGAATGCTAAATCAATGACAGCACCAATAAGCACTACTTGCTATCTTGACAAAGATGAAGTGGGAAAATCCATAGACGTAAAGAAATATAGAGGTATGATTGGATCTCTCTTATATTTATCTGCAAGTAGACCTGATATTATGTTCAGTGTTTGTTTATGTGCAAGATACCAATCTAACCCTAAAGAATCTCATTTGAGTGCTGTTAAAAGAATTATGAGATATCTGTTAGGAACCACAAATCTAGGTCTATGGTATCCTAAAAACATGCCTTTCAATCTAGTAGGTTACTCAGATTCTGATTTTGCTGGGTGTAAAACTGATAGAAAGAGTACTAGTGGAACATGCCATTTTATTGGATCCGCTTTAGTATCATGGCATAGTAAAAAGCAAAATAGTGTTGCTTTATCTACTGCTGAAGCAGAATATATTGCTGCTGGAAGCTGTTGTGCACAAATTCTATGGATGAAACAACAACTATCTGATTTTGGTTTATCATTAGATCATATTCCAATTAAGTGTGATAATACTAGTGCTATCAATCTCTCTAAAAATCCAGTTCTTCATTCTAGAACAAAGCATATTGAGATAAGACATCATTTTCTTAGGGATCATGTTCAAAAAGGAGATTGTGTTCTAGAATTTGTTGAAACAAAGAATCAATTAGCTGATATATTCACAAAGCCCTTACCAAAAGAAAACTTCTTTTCAATTAGACAAGAATTGGGGATTCTAGACTCTTCTCACATTACTTTTTGAGTCTATAGTAAAAAGACAAAATTTTAAGGATAGTAATTGATTAAAGGAATGAATAAAAATTTTGGAAATTTGAACATTCGTAATCGATTACAGGGTCATGTAATCGATTACCAGAGCGTATTTGCTTGTTCTGGCACACATTAATCGATTACAAAGTTGTGTAATCGATTACCAGAGCGTGTTTCACTTATCTGGGTAAAGTGTAATCAATTACCATCGAATGTAATCGATTACCATGGAATGTAATCGATTACCAGTAGCAAAAAATGCACAAATCTGAAAAGGTGTAATCGATTATCGTATGCATGTAATCGATTACACAACGCATCTGCACTTATATTCGTGCAGTTTCGTCCTCTTCCTCACGAAAACCTCCCAAAAACCTATGCGCCTAACCACCTCAAATCTCCATATCTTCCTCAATTCTTAACGAGATCGAGTCCCGTTTGTTCCATTCTTCATCATTTTTGATTCTCTTCAATTCTACTGATTCTATTTTTCAAAACAATCACTCAATGGCGGAATCATAAAAATGTCATAAGGGTTCTTCACGTTCAACCACTGCCGGCCGCCGACAACAGCCTCCCTCCGACGACGCCCCTGCTTCTACGAATCCCAATTCATACTCTATACGTGCTCTCATTCTGTTCTCCACAAACGAACAACGAGATAGGTACTATCAGTTATTTTCTGAGCAAAATATTATTGATCCCAAGTATATCAGTATTGATTTTTTTGAGGGTGAATCATTTGAGTGTTATACGATTTTTAAAAATTCTGGGTTGCTGGATTTTATGTCTATGAAGAACCCTGTTTATCCAGAATTAGTCAGGGTCTTTTACAGTAATTTGGAAATCAGGAATGGGGTTCTTCACAATGAGGTTAAAAAAATTCCAATAGTGATAAATCAGTCTTTGTTCTGTGATTTATCAAAATTAAAAGATCAGGGTACACTATTTGAGGGAACAATCCCGGATACATGGAAACTAGAATATTCCTATCCCAATGCCCGAAGTATGACTTGTATGGATGATGCTGACATGACTGGACAACTATTGGCTAGATCAATAAAATTTGATTATTGCATTATACATTATATAATTGTTCGGGTACTACTTCCCCGTACCACTAACCTTGCACAGGCATCAGAGGAAGACTTAATCTTGATATGGGCTCTAATCACTGGCCGGGAGTTTAGCTGGGCTCATCTAATTAGGAGTCGTATGAAAAAGGCCTTGCGGGTTAATGCTTCTCTTCCATACCCATATTTTATAACTACTATTTTGGAACATTTTAATGTTCCTCTGGAAGATGAAACATGGGTTCCAGTTAAGAGGTTCTTTGAGATTGGGGCAAATGCAATTGCTTCTTTTGGGTACAAGAAAACACTAGAAAACACTTGGGTCAGGAAGCGGGATTTTCAAGCAGTTGACACTGATGATAAAACTCCGTCACCACCTCCTCAAGATCCTTCATCAGCACTTCTCTCGGATGTTCTCAATGAAATTAGAGATCTTCATTTCTATGTTGGTGAACGTTTTGATTCTCTTGACACTCGCATGACTCGTCTTGAAGAGGAAGTAAAATCTCTTCGCCGCCCTTCCGAGTAGCTAGTTGACTGTGATTCTGATAGTTGTTCTCTTAGTTTATCTTATGTTTTGGACTATTTTTTAGTCAATTTCTGAACTTTTTGATTAGTATGTTCTAGGATAATTCTGCACGTTTGACTCTGACCATTTTGCTATTGGGACATATTTATTTTAACTTCTGTTCTGAATGGTGTTTGTTTATCTCATTCTATATCTTCTTTGTTATGTTGTTTCATTCTTTTTGATGTTGCCAAAGGGGGAGAGGAAAGGAAAGAAGAAAAAGGGATAACTTATTTTGGTCCTGATCAAAAATTGGATGTTATGATTTAAACAATTTAACATGATCATTGAAATTTAAATCTTTTTATAAAATAAAATTAACATCAAACAATGATTTATTAAGGGGGAGACTAAGGGGCAGTGATCGATATACACTGGTTTATGTTTCTTTCCATTTATAGTATGTTGTCATCATCAAAAAGGGGGAGAATGTGGAAGAACATATGTAAAAGATTTTGATGATACCAAAGAAATTATAGAAAACAAGAGGTCAAGTTAAAGCAAGGTGATCAAGAAACAAAAATCTCAAAGTATTTTAGATAAGTCTTGTCAACCTAGCTTTATATGTAAAAAGAAATCTTTCGAAATATTGCATAAGATTCTTGGCCATTTAAAATAAAGAATTTCAAAGAAAACCCAAATATAATCTTTTTTTATATAAATAAGGTTTTGGAAATAGAAATTTTCTATATCTTAAGTTTTAATAAGGTAATTATTGTTTTCAGAGTCTGGTAATCGATTACCAGTACATGTAATCGATTACCTGAGGATGAAACTCATATATTCAAAATTCACTTATTAAAACGTGCTCTGGTAATCGATTACTCATTCCTTGTAATTGATTACTAGAAGATAAAATTTTGAAATTTGAATTTAAATTATACAACGTTCCAAATATTTTGAAATTAAACCATTGTAATCGATTACCAAGTCTTGTAATCGATTACCAAAGCCTATTTTTTGGAAAATTTTAGAAAGTCACAGCTCTTCATGAAAAGTCATGACCTAAGAAACAATCATCTATAAATACCAATAATTTTTCAGGGAAATGTTACGAACTCTGTTGTGAAAATTATCTTTACAAATCACTTGGCCAAAATCATTTGCAAACATTATCTAAAGAGTTCTACTAGATCAACAAAGTGTAAAATCCACTCTTCAAAAGAGAGTTGTTCTATGTTATTCAATTCATCTATTGATCTGTAAAGGAGAAAGTGTTGTTCTCCTTGTTGGTCTGTGATTATCTCACCATCATACTTGACATGTGGATGGATTTCCTACTCAGCGCATCCACCACAACAATGGCCTTCCCAGGGTGATACATTAACTGGAAGTCATAATCCTTCAGAAACTCTATCCACCGCCTCTGCCTCATGTTCAACTCTTTCTGACCAAACAGGTACTTCAGATTCTTGTGATCACTGAAGACACTGAACCGAGCACCATAAAGATAATGTCTCCATATCTTCAAGGCAAAAACAACTGTTGCTAACTCCAAGTCATGAGTGGGATAATTCCTCTCATGATTCTTCAGTTACCTTGAAGCTAATGCCACTACTTTCCTGTTTTGCATCAACACACACCCCAAGCCCTCCTGAGAAGCATCACAATACACATCAAAGGGCTCACCAGAGTCAGGCAACACCAGCACAGGAGAAGTAGTCAACCTCATCTTCAACTCTTCAAAACTCTGCTCACAAGCATCAGTCCAAATGAACGGTTGCTCCTTCCTTGTCAACTGGGTTAGAGGCGCTACTATCTTGGAGAATCCCTCAATGAACCTCCTATAGTAACCCGCTAGACCCACAAAACTCTAAATATCAGTGAGAGTTCTTGGACGCTCCCACTGCAACACCGAGTCCACCTTAGTCGGATCAACAACAATCCCCTCAGCTGAAATCACATGTCCCAAGAACTTCACCTCCTCAAACCAGAACTCACATTTTAAAAGCTTGGCATACAACTGCTTCACTTTCAAAATCTTCAGCACCAACCGCAAGTGCTCCCAATGCTCCTTCGGGGTCCTTGAATAAATCAGGATGTCGTCAATAAACACCACAACAAATTTATCCAAATAGGGCCAGAAGATCATGTTCATGTAATCCATGAACACTATCGGGGCGTTGGTCACACCAAACAGCATCACAATATACTCGTAGTGACCATACCTAGTCCTGAAAGCAGTCTTAGGTATGTCACCCTTCTTCACCCTGATTTGGTGATAACCTGACCTCAAGTCAATCTTCGAGAAAATCGATGCTCCCCTCAATTGGTCCATTAAGTCATCTATCTGGGGGAAGTGAATATTTGTTCTTAATGTTCAACTTGTTCAACTGCCAGTAATCAACACACAATCGACTACCTCCATCTTTCTTCTTTACCAACAACACGGGAGTACCCCACGGCGATACACTCGGTCGCACCAACTACTTTTCCAACAGGTCTTCCAACTGACCTTTCAACTTAACCAGCTCAGTTGGGGCCATCCTATAAGGAGCCATCGACATTGGCCCCGCACCTGGAACCAAGTCAATGCTGAACTCCATCTCCCTAGTAGGAGGCAACCTAGGCACCTCATCCGGGAACACCTCAGCAAAATCCCTCACCACATCTATCTCAGCTATGACCCTCTCGGTTTCCATACTCATGGCAGCAAGCAGAAGACAACACTCTGCTCTATCTCTCAGCAATGATTCAGCTTGACAAGCCTGAAATCAACAATTCCTCCTCTACCTGAGGAAAGATCAACTGCCTATTGGCACAATCTATAAGGATGTGATTGGCAGACAACTAATCCATCCCTAAGATTATGTCAATGTCCACCAAAGATAAACAGATCAAGTTCTCGTTATACCTCTTCTCATTCACAACAATAGGACAACCAGCACACAGCTCAGAAGCAACTAATGAAGTAGAAGCGGGCGTCGACACTAGTAGTCTCAACCCCAAATCACACACCGACACACCAAGCATAGCAGCACATGCATAATAGATAAAGGAGTGGGAAGCTCCAGAATTAAATAAGATTATCTCATCCTTACCAGTAGCTTTACCCTTCCCCTTCACAAGATCTTAGGAAGTAGAAGCTTCAGCTTCATTCAAAGCGAATACTCTCCCAGCAGTAGTAGGTCTATCACCCTTCTAAGCATCACCTCTATGAGCACCCCTCTCCGGTCTGTTCCTGGCAGGACAGTTGGTCGACTCGTGACCCATCTGATGACACCTAAAACACTGGCTCTCCGTGTGTGGACAATCCCTGACAAAATAGGGTCCAGCACACCTATACCATCTAAGAGTGGCACCTCCACCCTGTCTCCCTCCTCTAGCAGCATCAGGAGGTTGTCTTATCACAGGACCCCCTTGCTGTGGTTGGGGCCTATCATATGGCTTCCTCTGATTTCCTCCTTTCTTGGACCCAGCTGGTCCCTCAGCAGTCTTCATCACACGGTTTCCACCTTCTAACCGCTCAACCACCTTAGCCTTCTCCACCAAGGCTGGAAACTCAGTGATAGTCATAGGCACCACCACCATCTTCATCTTTTGTCTCAAACCCTCAACAAATTTTCTGCATTTCCAGGCCTTAGAAATTGCCTGCAAATATAAACAAGCCAGGTGCTCGAATCTCATCGCATAGTCAGACACCGACATCCCTCCCTGGTGCAACCGCATGAACTCGGGCTCCTTGGCGTGCCTCACGCTTTTCGAGAAGTACTTCTCAAGAAACACTTTCTTGAAGCACTCCCAGTCCACAACAACACCCTGAGCAACCAACATATGGTGGGTGCCTCTCCACTAATGTTCAGCCTCTCCAACCAACATGTAGACAGCATACGCCAACCTCCTCTCCTGAGAACATCCCAACACTGTGAAGATCTTCTCTAGCTCACAGGTCTAATGGTCATCTATCTCTGGGTCTGCATCTCCCTTGAACTGCGAAGGATGGCATTTCCAGAACTCAGCTAGATCCCGGCTCTCTTGTGACCTAGCTAGTCGTGTTGCACCAGTTGCAGCTCTATCAGCGTCCATCCTAGCAAAGTAAGCATTTTGCTACTGCATAGCCATAGCCATCATCTCCATGGCACGGGCTATCTGCTCATTGGTTCTAGTCATTGTCTATAAAAGTAACAGCACCTTCAGTATACAATAACTAAACCAAACAATAATCAATAGCACAATAATCAACAACGAAATCAACACAGCAAGGCAACACAACATAGAGCTCAACAACAAAAGCCTAAAGGAACCACTCCCACAGAGTGTCCACTAGACTCGAACTGCTCTGATACCACTAAAGTGTACCGACCCGCCTAGCCATCACACAGCACAACACCACAACACCATACAGAAAAGAGCAAGTATATATATAAGCAACTAAAATATATACACAAGGTCTAATCTAGGGCTAAGAATCAGAGTATACAAAATACATCCAGCAATGCTACACTAAGTAGCTGAAAATAACAAAAGAATAAACTTCATCTACCAGTTGTAGACCTGTCTCAACTCACCAACCTAACCCTACTATGCTCTTATACATAGTATGATCATTGAAGTCCAAACCACATGGAAACAACAAAGGGTAAGCTAGTGCAAAGAATCAACATACATATATATAAATACATGAATGGTAAACAGCTACAGTTATCAGCACATCATCAGCATACAGCTCATCACATATACAACTCACATCATACAGTATAAATAGTGGTAAACACACAATGCGTCGTCACGCATATCAGCTCGGAGATCTCCTACAACTGCTCAGCCTTACGGCCTACAACAGCTCAACCTTACAGCCTACAACAGCTCAGCCTTACGGCCTACAACAACTCAGCCTTACGGCCTACAACAATTTATATCATCATGCAGCACAACACAACATACAACAATAACAACATACAACACAACTTAATATTTTTCAGCACAACTTAAATAACTCACAGCACAGCAACAACATAAATTAGCTCAACAATATTCATCAATAACAGCTCAGCTCAGCATATATCAACATTTATTAGCATTTCACAACATATATCAGCATATAACATCATATAAGTGAATATCACACCCGTGCCTGACGCAATCATGGTCGCGCCCAGCGTGGCCCAACCAGAGAGCATCAGGTCTCAAATTGAACCTGGCGTGCTAGGAGGCAGAGACTCCAAAGAGTCTCACACGCCTGACGTGCCCAACCCACGCTCGGCGCAAGGTAGGTAGAGACCTCCCCAAGGTCTCACGCTCGGCGCAATACCAATTGCGCCCGGCACCACCTCTGGCAGAGACTCCCAAGGAGTCTCCACGCCCGGCGAGACATAGTCACGCCCGGCGCCATACCAGAATCCCAAAATGCCAAGTTACTTCCTGATATCGCGCCCAACGTGGCCCAACCACGCCCAGCGTGAGCCATCCAGGGGCATCCATCCTCCAGCTCGCCCGATGCACACCACTTGCGCCCGGCGGGCTCGACCAATGAAGCCCTCTAATGGTCACGCGCCCGGCGCCAAGAACTGCGCCCGACTTGATGCCAAACAACAACTTCCCAAGTTCAAAAATTTCCTTTAAAACCTGCAAAAATTGGTACCCCAAGCACATGCAATCGGCCCAAAACATCACAATTTCATCAAACAACCCAAAAATCCCAGCTTTTTCAACATGCATCCATCAATTATCAAAAACCTCAGATTTTAATCAAACCCCGAAAAATGAAGTTTCTTCAATCTCAGCCAAAATCATCAAACATCAGACCACAAATGGTTTGCTAAACTCATTTTCCACATAATACAGCCAAGAACTAGCTTCCCTTACCTCGGTGTGAAGGTTCCGAGCTCCGGGAAGGAGAAATGGAGAAGAAGGAGAAAACGAACAGAGATCAACGATGAAGGAGAACTTCAGCTAGCTTCCAACACTACGAATCAGTACCTATGCTCACGACTTCAGCTAGAGAGAATGAAATTTGCAACAAGGTAAGGGCTTGAGGGGAAAAGGAATGAGAGTGAAGGTTATGAAAGGAAAAGGAGAGTGTTGAGGGAGAGGAAAAAAGACGGGTCTCACATTTTCGACAAATATAAATTTGTCTGAAATATTCTATCAATAATATAGCTTTGCCTACAAAATTTTTCTCATCGAAAATATAAATTTTCCGACAGATTTAATTTTGTTTTATAAAAAATCATCTTCGATTAATATAACATTTTGTATATATGATTTAAGAGTAAATAATTTTCAATTTAACGGTCGGATTTACAAAATTCAGATTTAATATAAAGGTATTGAGTGGTGTAATACTTAGTAAAAGTTACACTGGTGTAATTATAACCCCTATATATATATATACACTATACATTGATTTTAATTAATGAAATAGAGTATCAAATAATTTTCAAGATTTTTAAAATTTTGTAAACTATACATTATAAAAATTTAATTTAACAGTTTGGTCGTTAAAATTTAATATAGAGCATGAGTTATTGAGTGGAGTAAGTCTAAGTAGACATATTCCACTCAATAACTCATATTTTACATCAAATTTTAATAATTTAACCATTAAATTATAAGTTCTTAATATATAGATAAAGTATGCGAATCTTTAAAAAATTTGAAAATTATTTGATACTTTGTTTCGTTAATTCAAATTGACGAATAATCATAAAAATATTTTATGTTGATTTGAATAAGTCTGCGAATCTTTAAAAATATTTGAAAATTATTTGATACTTTGTTTCATTAATTCAAATTGACGAGAAATCATAAAAATATTTTATATGTTGATTTGAATTAATGAAATGGAGTATCAAATAGTTTTCAAATTTTTTAAAAACTTGATTTATGCATTAAAAATTTTTAATTCAACAATTTGATCATTGACATTTGATATAAAACATGAGTTATTAAGTGAAATAATTTTATTTTGATTAACTATTAGTGATCCATTCTTTATATATATATGTATATATATGAGTCAGAATTTGTTGACATCAAATGTATCTAAACACTTACATCAAATATACCTTTAATAATTTTTTTTATATAATACAAGTTTAATTTATCCAACCGTTGAATTATATAATATTATACTCAATTATTTATGAGGTCATTGGTCTCAAAGTAGAAAATCGGTAAAAATGAGCTTCAATTTATAATGGGATAGAAGAAAGAAGTGAAAGATTGCAATCATTGGATCCAAAATGAATTGATGGCTATGATTAAGAAACTCTTTGTATACTAAAAGAATGTAATTCTTTGTTTCAAGAAGAGAAATGAAAAGGCACATTGGTCTATGAAAAGACATAGTTAAAACAACAATCTAGCTCAAAAATTTAATGAGACACAATGTATGAGAAACGACAAGATGTTTAAGTTTTCTTGAGATTTCTTTTAATTAAAATCTTGAAAGTCTAGAGGCCTGGTAGAGGGTGTCACATGTATATTGGAAGGGTTTAGTTGACGGGTAAAGTCGAACACTCCTTGAATCCTATTGAAGGTTATGTAGTCTGGATGAGTCAAAGGCAACGTTAAAGGTAATAATAGATCTAACATTAAGGTTCGAATCCAATAAGGGTAGTATACATAGTGACGTATCGAGAGAGAAAAAAAAAAGCTACTTTTACATTTATTATAGTATTAATTGTGTTGATCTATTTGAGATTTGGTGATTGACTTATGCAAGTGCCTTTTGTAGAAACCTTCCTTTAACTCTATTAGATAAGTATAACCGAGGACTATCCATCTCAACCTTAAAGGTAATAGCTACTAAGAACTCCTCGGATGAGCAAAACCAATGACTACCAAGATATAGAAGATGAAGAATAGGATAATGAAGGATAGAAGATATGAAATTACATATGTATCCCTATGCACATACAAATATGTATAGGGATGGCAATGGGGCGGATCGAGTACAGGTTTCATGATACCCGTCTCTGTCCCCGCGAGTCAAACTCATCCCTGTCCCGGTCTCCGTACCCATCAGGTATGTGATTTTCATCCCCATCCCCATCCCTGTCGGGTATCGGGTATACCTGTTCCCGTACCCGTACCAGTACCTGTCAATTTTTTTATTTTTTATTTTTTATAAAAAAATGATATTTTTAAATTATTTTTTTATTATATTATAATTATAATTAAATTATTTCTCTATCTCATATTATAATAAATAATCATACAAAAAAATATTATTATTTTTAATATAATTAAATTGAAAGTGGGTATTAAATTAAAAATGAAAATGGGGACGAGCACGGGTACGGGTACGGGGCGGGTAAGTACATACTCGTACCTGATTTAATATATCGAGTTTTACCCGTACCAGTACCCGTATGCAGTCAAATTGGGTATTCCCCGTCAAAGTCGGGACGGGTTCGGGTATTACCCGCGGGTACGAGTATATTTGTCATCCCTAAATATGTATTATATATAACTAAAATTTATGATAAATTTTTTATACAAATAAGTATTGTGTTTGAATATATAAATTAAATTAAAATTATATATATATATATATATTGAATTGTATAAATATGATAAATAATTTATATTATAATACAAGATTAATTTTATTTATTGATAATTTATTTAAAAATATTTAAAATTTAATTTATAGATGATTATGGTAAATAAAAATTGAACTAGATAACTAGTTTAAAGAATCCTTAAAAATCCTACGATTGAAGTAAAATCCCCAAAAATATTCTCATATTAGACAACAATTATGAAATATACATGGATTGATTTGTTATTGATTTTAGTTTAACATTTTATCAATCCTTATATATTAA